CACAAAGAGCCCACTTGCCTGGTCATCTCTCTCTCCTTCAATGTGCCTCCGCACATCACTAGAATTAAGTGTCAGCCGCACTTGCTCAATCTTGATAGGCTCCTTACTATACATAATTGAATTCTCAATGTCACGATATCCTGAAGTCAATGAAAATAGCAAAGCACATGCAAGCGTCTCCTCCTCCTTTTTAATTCTTGCAATATGTAAGTCCATGACAAGTTTATTGAACGCATCTAAATGATCTTGTAACGAAGTACCTGACCTAATATTAAATGTGTGAAGACGCCGTTGTAACAACATCCTTGTTGTCACTGATCGGTCTTGGTATAGCCCTTCTAGCTTTTCCCATAACTGTTTGGCCATCTCTTCGGTACCCGTACTCACTTCACAAAGCATGTTAGGTGCAAGGGATAGCTGGATTGCACTCAATGCATCCCCTTCAATCTTCTCCTTGTCGGGAGTTGATATATCCTTAGGATACTTTCCGTCAATAGCATGGATTGAACCTTCCCTCCGCAGTAACGCCATCATCTGGATCTTCCAGATATTGAAGTTGTTGCGTCCACTGAATCTATCAATTTCAAACTTCATGGAACTCATCTTTGCTTGTTCTTCCTCCTTGGATCGTTAAAGAATCCTGTTGCTCTGATACCAATTGTTAGCGGAAACGTAAAAGAAAGAACACAAGATTTAACGTGGTTCGGATCAAAATAATCCTACGTCCACCAGAGAACAGTTGCCTTTTTAATATTAACAAAGGAAGGGGAGAGTTCCCAATTACACTTAAGAGAATTTCTCTCTTAACTCTCTACTCACTACAATGTGTTGTATTATTTTTGGGATGGTTTCTACAAATGAAGGAGTGCATCTATTTATAGAGGTAAAGACCTCCTCTTGATGTCATTGGTGACATCAAACTACCTCCTCTTGATGTCATGGGTGACATCAAAGGAGGAAGCTTCCTCCTAGCATCCACACCAACTCTTCCAATTGGCATGCCATTATTGACTAAACATAAACCAACACCTTCAGATTCCTATATAGTAGACTATTCAACAATCTCTTAGTATGATTCCGCTTATGCTTCTCAATATGAATGCCTTTTGCCGACCATCTCTTGAAAAAGACAAATTCTCTCTTTAAATATTTTTGTCTTGCAAAAATTATTTTTCTCTCAAAGTTTAATAGGTTTTGCATAGTCATATAAACTCTCTTTTCCATAATTTTTGCTAGTATTTCTTTGGGTTTTAAAAGTTGCTACCTTTTTACATCGACGGGACCACATTTTTTACATGTTTAAAATTAAAAGAAACATGTAACGGTGAGGATATCCGTAACTCATATTCAAAGAAATGGGACAATAAATAGATTCCTTTTTATACCTATATACATGCATTTTAACTTTATGGTGGTTTTATTTGTTAGAACTTTTTATGGACTTGCACATAAGGCTGTGCATTTGGATCGGATATCCGAAATCCAATCCGACCTGCTCTATTTCGAATTTCGGATTTCGGATTTTCGGATTGGATACGGATTATGTTTTATAAAATTTTGAATTGGATTCGGATTGGCATGATTTTAATCCGATCCAATCCGAAATTCGAAATTATATGGGCCTATATATAAATACTACCCTAAAATTTTAGGGTTAAGTATACTTATTCATTTATCAGACATACCCTAGGTTATATCGATGTTCAGTTCTCTTTTCCGCCTCTCTTCAGTCTTCACAGCTTAGTGACTCAGTCTTCTCGAACTCGAAGTCTTCACTCTTCATCTCAGTTCGACCAAGTTTCCACCTCTCGTATTCACTCTTTATCTTAGTCCTCTCGAAGTCTAAAGCCAGTGAACTCCAAGTTCTCTCGAAGTAGAAAACTAATCTCGAAGTCTCAACTCTCAAGTCTTCACATTCAATTTCCAATCAAGAGCAAACGACGCAAAACCCTAATAGACGGTAAGCCTGGCATTCTCTCTAACTATTAGTTATTATTGGTTCATTGTTGCTTTCCCCCTCTCTCTTAGAGCTCAAATGTGATGTTTTCCACCTTTTATTTCACGACAGAAATCAAATAATGTGTGTTTTTTGTGTCTTTTTTTGTGTGTGTTAGAGAGATATTACAACATCTTTATTTTGAATTTCCATACTGTTTTTTCAATATTTGTATGTATGTATTGATTCGTCTTTATGTTCTGTTTTTTATCTCTCTTTCATTTTCTATTCTTCTATTTCTGATTTTATTTTGGTTTTTTTGTTTGTTTTGGTAGATGGAAAACAAGACAGAGACAGTGAATGAACTTCAAATTGTTGAAAAAGTTGGTGAAAGTAATACTTCAACTGATTCAGATTCATTAACCAACAACAGTGAATCTGAACCTGGTTCGAAGAAAAGAAAAATGGTTAAAGAAAGATCAATGGCTTGGCGCTACTTCAACAAGTTCACTGATGCCGAGGGTGTGAAGAAAGCGAGATGCAAGTTTTGTTCAGAAGAATATGTGGCTGATACCAAGCATAGCGGCACAAGCAATTTGTTATTGCATATTCCCAAATGTCTGACCAATCCCTACAAGGCAGAAGGTAGCCAGACAACAATAGGTTTTCAACCGCAAGGTCTAACAGGTGATGTTTCAGTTATCCCTTGGAAATTTGATCAAGAGGCATGTATGAGGGCTTTAGCTCGTATGATTATTAAAGATGAACTTCCCTTTATATCTGTTGAAAAAANGTTATCCCTTGGAAATTTGATCAAGAGGCATGTAGGAGGGCTTTAGCTCGTATGATTATTAAAGATGAACTTCCTTTTATTTCTGTTGAAAAAGATGGATTTAGAGACTTTGTTAGAAGTCTTCAACCTTTATTTCATATTCCATCTCGTACTACTATGACTAGGGATTGTCTTGAGATTTACCATGAAGCTAGACTTGCTTTGAAGTCTATTCTTAAAGAATCAAAACAGAGAATATGTATTACTACTGACACATGGACTTCAATTCAAAGAATTAATTATATGTGTGTTACAGCCCATTACATTGACAATAATTGGAAATTACATAAAAGGATATTGAATTTTTGTCCAATTACTAGTCATAAAGGTCAAGATTTAGCTAGTGGTATTGCTAAGTGTTTACTTGAATGGGGAATGGATAAAGTATTTACTGTGACAGTTGATAATGCGAGTTCTAATGATGTGGTGGTTAGAAGTTATCCAAGGAATTTACTAGATGGAACACTAACTTGATGGAAGGTAAGCATGTCCATGTGAGATGTATGGCTCACATCATCAATCTAGTTGTTCAAGATGGGTTGAGAGATGGGAGTGTGTCTGTTGAACGAATAAGACAAGTTGTTAGGTACATAAGACAATCTCCCGCAAGATGGAAAAAGTTTAAAGAATGTTGTGATCTTGATAGGATAACTTCTAAAAAATCATTGTGCTTGGATGTTCCTACTAGGTGGAACTCCACATATTTGATGTTGAAGGTTGCTACAGTTTATGAGGAAGCCTTTACAAAGTATTGTGATATTGATTATGGTTTGATGTCATGTATTTCTAACTGCATTTGTGAGGATGGACAACCTGCAGGTCCACTTTTAAGTAGTGATTGGGATAGTGTAAGACGTATTGTGAAGTTTCTGGAAATTTTTTATGAACTCACCTTGAAAGTATCAGGTACACTTTATATTACGTCTAATGTGCACTTTCTTGAAATATGTGTTGTTGATTCTTCTTTGAAAGAGTTGATGCAAAATGAAGATGCTTTCTTGAGAGAAATGGCAAAGAATATGAAAGAAAAATTTGACAAGTATTGGGGGGATCCACATAAGATGAACAAAATGATTTTTATCTCATGTGTGCTTGATCCACGCCATAAGTTTAATACTCTTTCATTTGCACTTGGTTCTATGTTTGGAGAAACA